CGGGGTAAGGGGTTTAGATAGGGGTAGGTTAGTCCGGGCCAGCGAGAGGACCCCAGGCGAGAGAGACCCGTGAGGGAGGCGGGAGGGGAAGGAGGAGGCTTCCGAGGGAGACAGTGGTTACTGGTTACCCTTGCCGAAGTAACCCCGCTCCCCCTCCTCATCTCATGAATCAAATGTTCCTCCCCTCCGTCCCGTTCAGTCGCCTTGCCCTTCGCCCGCCCGACGGCGCCCTTGCCCCTGCGTCCTGACGCCACGCACCCTCCGTCCCTCTCGTCCGCCCGCCCGGCCCTTTACGGCCAATCCACCTGAGTTATTGGCTCATTCGCGCGCGAACCCGCCGCCGTTCGCGAGGATGACGGTCACGACGGCGTGCGCATGGCGACGACCCGCGGTGGTGACGATGCCGTAGAGCATAAGGAGGGGGACGGGCTGGAGTGGGGGGTGGGGGGAAGGCTGATCGTGGTGATATGCTGGCGGAGTTTCAATGAGGTGGCGCGAAAAATAATAAAGAGGAATTAGATCGAAGGGCGAAGGAGCTAATTCGGGCTGGTCTTCTGAATTAGAGGGGGGAAGGGTCGCACAACCATTAGAGACAAACAGCCTTGACGCGACAAGGGGACGTTGTTCAAAGGGCGCATCAACAAACGCTGATGCGCACTGGCCAACAAGGGCGGACCTGATGAAAGGGGACGAGAGGGAGAGGGAGGGAGAGGGAGGGAGAGAGAGAGAGAGAGAGAGAGGGGGGGGGGGAGGAGGAGGGAGCGACGGACGAGTAGCAACCACTCCTCTCTCCCTCATTCCCTCTTTCTCTATCCCCTTGCAGCAGACAGCGTGGCGGGGGCGAAGTGAGTACCTCTCAAATAACACAGGGACGACGGCGTATACAGAAGAGGCGCGACGCAAAGGGGACGAATAAGGTAGACGAGACGAGGGAAAAGGGAGGGGGGGGGAGAAGAGGAGAGCGCAACGGAACAGCGTCAAGAAAAGGGCTGACCATTAATGGCCGACACCAGCGCAGTAAACGCTGGACAAGGTCAAACAATTGGCGTTAGAGCGCATTCCCTTTAGAAACGCATTAAAATGTCCAATACCATGTATATCGTATGAATATTCAAATTTGGGAATTTTGGTGAGTTAAAATGCTTATAAAAAACGCACTATCTGCTGGCATTCAATGAAACGTGCGACGTACGTGTGTCCAGTGATTTATCACTTCCACGCGAAGCAGAAAACTAGAAAACGCTCGATTCGAACCCAGTGACAAACTGATTCGTCAACCTCTATTGCACACTCTACCGCGCCTAGGCTTCTGGAGACTGGTCCAGGAAACGGGTGCCGTAACTATACTACAAGGAGAAGGGGTGGGGTAAATGAGGAGTGTAAGCATCCAGAGATAGAAAGAGAGAGATATAGACAGGGGGGGGGGGGTAGTGCGCAGACTGAACGCGTTACCCCGTCACATTGAAAAGTTGTCGTTACGGGTACAGATGAGGGTACAGACAAATTTTCTATGGGAAGTCGTACAATTAGAATTTGAAATTGTAAAAATTTAAGCCCTGTCCCTGCGTATCAACTTTGAATCGAACAACGAGCGAGAGTGAGGTTCTACATGTACGGCCCGTTTTGCAAATGGCAAATTACAAAATATATCCGTACATGGACAAATATATCCGTACATGGACAAATAAATCCGTACATGGACGAATATATTTTTGACAGTGGTTAAAACAGGGGATCACATATTAAACTGCGCAGTCCATAGAATTTGTTTTCATTTCTGACTGTTTCTCTGTCTCTCACACACGTACACGGGCGCACTCCCTCCGTCTTTCACCATGTACAAAGGCTTTCGGCCAGGCCATATACCACCCGATGTAACCCGCTTATACGAGCCTCTCGTTATACGGCGTCTTCTCCTTCTGCTCTCTCTCTCTCTCTCTCTCTCTCTCTCTCTCTCTCTCTCTCTCTCTCTCTCTCTCTCTCTTCTTTCGCCGAGCGCACATGTTTCCCTCGACTACAAGGCGCAGGGACTAACAAGAGCAGCGCCCGCCGCCATGAGCCGAACGGGGGCGTCTTTCCCTCCCGTCGATTTACATCCTCATCATTTCTTGTTGTGACGACTGACCTCGCGGCGACCTACCGGCAGGTACCAGGGCGACCCTGAGCAAGGGGTCGAAAGACGCTCCTCCCCTCCCTTATTGGCGAATAGAAGGAAAAGCTGCGAATACGCATCGGGACTACGAATATACAACGAATGTCACGCGCCTCCTGCACGTGAGGAAATAAAGTCCATCTGCAACCTGCAACAGCAGGTTAACAAAAAACAAAACAAAAAAAACTGTTGCTTGAAAGCGCAAACGACTATGTCTTGCAAGAGGTTATTAACTCGCTTATTAAACTAATTCGCCCCGCGACGTGTGTCTAGTTCCTACACTTAGATTTTCAGTGCATATTTTTCCACGCCCTTCAATTACTCGTCCAGTCTTTCGTGACTCGGTGGCGAGTCGCTCACGCTGCCCGTTCGACCGCGATCGACAGAAAAAGTGACACACACCAGAGAGATAGGGAGGGAGAGACTGTGAGTACTCCCAGAACTACTTCCCTTATTGAGCCAGTCGAGCAGGAGTCGAGTCGGACAAGGGAGCGGGCAGGAGGGGAGGGAAAGAAAAGAGAGGGTGGGGGGGCATCCCTGGTCCGCGAGATGCTGGTCACGATTTCGGGATCACCAACACATTGCGCTACAAGCAACACAAAATCGCTTTTCCGCTTCAATCCTAGGCTAGGCTAGTTCAGTTAGATCTCATCGCACAATAATAATAAAAGAGACTTTTGGAGGTAACGTCTCCATTTATCAACCATAGAGGCGAACAGCGTCTGGGCTGTATGGTATGTCGACGCTACAGGACAAGATGACAAAAAGTAAAAATACGGGGAAATGTCGTGAGGCGGGCAGAAGAACACACACACACACACACTGGGGATACATAGACTTATACAAATACCCCCCCCCCTCCCTCAGAGCAAATCCAGAGATGTTGCCATGAGACTGACAAATAGAGGGACGCCTTTGCACAACTATCCGTACACCCTGGCAATGCACCGTGACTTGTCATAGAGGGGTCCCTCTGGGAGCGCACCAGGAGAAAGAGGTTCGGAGAGAGAAAACGTGTTCTTAAGTGTGAGAAGGGGCATAAATAGGGACTGTAAAATTTACACTAGGGTTGAAAAGTCGTAGAAAAACTGTTTCGAAATCGCAAAATTTCGCACATCTAAACTTAGATACCGTATTCTTGAAAAAAAAAAAACAACAACAACAAAAAACAAACAGGTACTGACAATTGTTAAGAAAGTATTTTTCGAGTGGTCAATAACTCCAGGAATCACTACTTTTAAACGCTGCCTGCCTACTGGGAATCATCAGGATGAAGGGTAGTCGAAATCAACATAAATCGCTTAAACTTGAGAATCAAGTATTTCGGGAAACATGTGTACACAACAAAAGGGAGTTATTGCCCCCTCGGTATTTTTCCTTCGGATTTTAAAAAATCTTCACATTTTTCAGTGGAATTTGTAAGTATTTTTTTAGTAGACAGTCGTTGCTACTGGAGTCAGAAAAGTGCGGCGGGTTGGGGCTCATGCCCAGGTCCAGCAGCAAGGGTGTGCTCATGTAACGTGCTGAACTGGCGTCGTGGGGCGGGGCCGGGGGCGGTCGCAAACCGCCCGCATTGTGGCAGTCTATATATAAGAAAGACGCCGCACTGGCAACAGCAGCGCACTGCAACGCAGCACACCAACATGAGGGCAGCCGTCGCCAGCGTCATTCTTGTGAGTATGAGGCACAGTGACGGCACAGGTTAGGGTCGCCCGTCATTATTGTTGGGGTGTTGCATTCGTGTCATCATTTCCACGCCCTCTGCTTTATCACTGCGAAAAATATTATCGTAAATTTACAACATATTTTGTATTTCCGATTTACAGACCATGTTTTAAATTTATTCTTAATCGTCTATGGATTCTAAGAATCAAAACATAGAGCGTGTAATTTTACAATTTTAAGTTGTAATTTTACAGCACACTTTCCTATAGAAAACTTTCCTGTAACCCTTACAAGAATTTGCGCGGGTGGAAATTATTCCACCGTCCTGTGTGTATGTGTACTATGTTTACAATAACTCACACAACCTTCTTAGATATTGTGGAGAAATATTTTTTTATTCCTTGAGGAGCAACCACGCACAGGTGAATAAGCGACCCCAATGCCAAGGTTGTTGCCGCGACAAACGAGTCGTTTTAAACGCTTCCGAGGAATGAAGACAGTTCTACTTTGGAACCTGTCGCCCACTTCTGGGTCTGCTATCGTTACTGTTTTATTTTCGTAAAAAAATCATATACATCCTTTTTTTCTCCAACATGCTCGCAGACGTTTTGAACGCGAAGAGAAGAGGACGCGATTCGATTTTCAAGGCACGGTGCGATCACGGACGAAGCAGTACATAAATCTCTGGCAAAGGAATAGCAGTAAAACTGGGTCACCACACAGTCTTTTGCGTGTTTTTCTAAGTTTGGCTCGTGGACGGGAAAGAGAACCAGGGGCGGAGAGACGCCAGGATTGCCGTCCAGTGGTGCCGAGGGACACATAAAGGTGGCTCGCCGGTTGCTATTCAGCAACAAATAATACAAGGAAATATCTACCGCAATATTTAAAAAAAAAAACAAGAAAGGGAATACACGAACGTCACCAGCGTTGATGAACCGTTAACGGTCGTAAACGGCCGAAAAGAGAATATCGTTAACCCTTTAAATGGGGAGGGACAAGTTTTGCACCTAGATTAGATAAGTCTTTTGAGCTTATCTTCATCAGATACATATTTATCTGTACGGAGGTACAAATGCGTTTTTTTGTTGTTGTAACGTAGATACAAACGTGTATCTTGTCTAGATGCGCACAAAGACACATACAGCCTACGTACAAAAACTGTCCCTCACCATTTAGTTAGGACGCAGGCGCGCAGGCGTGTTCCATTCAAAGCCGACAAACAAATGTAAGTCTTAACAGTTCCTCACAGGAATTGGAAGGAGCCGACGAACTCGCCGCCAAAAGAGGGAAAGACCAGTGACTAAAAAAAAATGTAGAACAAGAAAAAGTTATGAGGTGAGGACGTAGTTTTAACGGAATACTATAAAGGGCAAACCGTTGACGAGAGAAGGACGCGCCCCAAAAAGTCGAGAAGAGAGATCCCAAGATCAAAGTAAAAGCTACCACCACTTCTTTGCCTGTCTTTTTTGTACCTAGTTTCGTTTTTCTGACGATGCATATTATTTTTTTGCCACCGTCACCGAGGACCGAGCCGGGCCGAGCCACGAACAGCCCGCCTCGGCATATATCACACTTCGCGCCACTTATTGGAGTTGGCCGAGGGGTGGCCTGAGCCTCGTGGGGGGACGGCCGGCCTGGCGCATGGAATACTTGTTGGGCTTGGGGAAGGGGGTGAGTCTCGCACTGTAGCGACGCCAAGCTCGGGTGCGATAAATGAAGCGGGTGGGAGGAGGGAGGGGAGGGAGGGGGGCAGCTGTGGGACCACAAAGCGGGAGAAATGAAACAAGACAAGCGGAGAGCGGTCAGGGCCCCCAGGGTCGTGCGAGCCACCCTCGAGGCCCATCTTTACGAGTAGAGGTCTCCTACTCTCTGAGAGCAGGGGAGCTATTCGATCTCGGCAGAAAACTTTACGTTGGAATTAGAGTGCTTGCGAACGCCCACCCCCTGTAAAATCCCTTTGCTGCAAATATGATACAATACAATTAACTTCCCGGTGTTACCTTCACTGCAATTGTATGAAACAGAGGAGCACCTGAAAAGAACCTTAGGAATGCCACAGTTAGTCGCTCATTTTCCATTACTTTCCCGGCCACTTTTTTATGCATGTCCAGGCCCAGTTTTTATGGATAATCAATTACAAACATACCAAGAAATAACATTAGAATTATTTCGGATCACTTTTTCTCTAGACTGTCCATATTATGACTCCAAGTTTTTTTTAAGGTTTTTTGGGAACCGTGCTTTCTGGGGACTGAGGGCGGAGCTAGGCTCTCCTGTGCACATGCTCGACGGGTCCATCCTCAGTAATTAAAGCCATTACATTAAGGTCCACCACCCTCCCGCCGGGACCGAATCCAAACGACTACACTATCAGGTGTCGGGGAGTGGAGCAGCTGGAAAAACACGCGCACGCACGCCATAACAAAGAGGTATCCTTTTTTCTTCCCTTTTTGGCACTCGCGCTACTCATCAGCACGTTTCAGTAACCCTAAACGGCCCTACCCCGGGGAGAAAGAGAGCGAGAGAGGGAGATGCGTAAATACGGCAATATTTTCCCTCTCCAGATCGCGGGAAGCGGTCGCACACCGCCAATAGCCGCCGCGACGACAGTGAAAACGCGCGCGCGAATTTTGCTGCCGCCATAAATTTTGCGTAGGCGGCGGGCATAACCTTCCTCAAAACACCTCTCAAACCCTTTGCGAACGCACAGCTGGGGGAGCAGTGAAACTTTTACGCCCGCGGCCTAGCAGGCCCCCTTCATTGGCATCTACACATCCATCTCGGTCCGGGTGTGCCTTTCTCACTCGGGCACCACTTGGGGTCCGCCCGCGCACAACTTGGTCTCGCAGGAAGGGAACAGTTTCAGCAGCGACCCGATGCCTCCCACCCCCACCGCAAGCCCTCCTCCTTCCCGAGCCACCCCTGCTTCTGCTCTGCTTGTAGTCGTCGTCGTGGCCCGTCGCTGAGAACGCCCCCGTCCCAGCAGCCCACAGTGCCCCGCTCGCGGCGTTCTGTTGGTATTGGTGTTTTGCTTTCTCAACTATAGCTTTCCGGTTCGAAGCAAACGCGGGACGAGGGCCCCCGCGCCGGTCTTGTTGGCCGCCGCGCTCCGGGGTTCTTTCGCGCAGAGCGGCGGCGGCCCCGACCCTTGCTGCCTCCGGAGCTGAATGCGATGGACTCCGCGGCGCGGTTGCAGAGAGGTCGCACGCGAGAGAGACAGGGTTCTTGTAGTAGGGGAGGACCCTCTCCGACTCCAGGAGCTCCCAGCAGCCGACACACGAATACATGCCCTTGTTCCTGGTCTGCAGGCCCAGCTCCTCATCGCGGCCACAGCGGAACCGCCCCACCACGTCAAGAGGGGCGCCGTGTTGAGCGGAGCGGGGCTCTTGTCTCCGGCCGGCTACGGACACGGCGGTGGCATCGCCCTGGGCCACGGCCTCGGCGGTGGCGTCGCCTACGGTCACGGCCTCGGGGGCATCGCACTGTCACCGGGACTGTCCCTCGGAGGCGCCGGCCTCTACGGCCTCGGCCTCAACACCGGCGGTCTCTACGGCCTCGGCGGACTGTCCCTCGGCGGCGGCGCCGTCATCGGCCCGGCGCACGTCATCCGCGAGCACGTGACCGTCAACCGGCAGCTGGGTGTGCCCGTGGCGCACCCCGTGCCCGTGCCCGTCACGCGCGACGTCGGCGTGCCCGTCCCCGTGCCCGTGCCCGTGCCAGTGGACCGGCCGTACCCAGTGGCCGTGCCCCAGCCGCACCCCGTGCCCGTCGACAGGCCGTACGCCGTGCCCGTGGACCGGCCCTACGCCGTGCCCCACCACGTGGCCGCACCCTACGCCGTGCCGCACCCCGTGCCCGTGCCTGTGGCCCAGCCTGTGCCCGTCCCAGTCATCCGCCAGATTGCCGTGCCGATCCCGAAACCTGTGCCAGTTCCCGTTGTTCATCAAGGTGAGTACATACATTAGACGATCACGGATCAACAGCAACGAGTATTCCCAAGTATTTTTGTAAGAGTAGAGAAATCAACTTTCATGCCCCCCCCTCACTTTTCTAGGGGCAGTTTAAGGCTCCTCGAGTATTGACTCTGCCCTGCTATTGGGTTCGGACGCCGTTGATCCTGGGGCCCAACAACAACATAGCTTCCGCTTGCTCACGCGTACTCCCCCCCTCTCTGTATTTGCAGCGCCCGTCGTCGCCCACGCTCCTAGCCTGGCGGACCACGAGCCATGGTGAGGAGGGGGACGAAGACGTGGCCAGACACGGCCATCCGGGATCAACGTCAACCTGTCACCACCTACCAACCAGCAGTCGATGCCTGGAGCAGGATCGCAAACCTTGGGGAGCTATCAGCGGCCACGCAGCGGGACACGGCGCAGGTGATCGCGTTTCTTTTCTCGCATTCTTTTTCGTCTCTCTTTGGTGTTAGTTTTTTTCTGTCAACGCATTCTCTCTTTTCGGGCACCCTCTCAGTGTGCAAAACTACAAAGGTCGTTCTGGAACAAACCGAGGCGTCACACTCACACACACCCACACACACACACACACACCACACACACGCACGCACGCACACACTTCACGTTCACCAGGACAAAGAAATGGCACCACAGCTTTTAGGGTCCTCCAGCCTACAGAGTTTTACAGCTCCGTATAGCACCACCTAGCGACGCTAAGGGGGCAGTCTCTCTCTCTCTCTCTCTCTCTCTCTCTCTCTCTCTCTCTCTCTCTCTCTCTCTCTCTCCTCTATCCGTTTGAGAGCAACTCCCGCTGGCCTCTGCTCACGCGGCTCTCTTGGACACTAGGATTACACAGACTGATGAATAATATGTGATAAGTAAATAAGCAGCGATGGCAATAAATGTTATTATTTTTACACTACACAGTGGTGTTGTATAACATTTTTCACCCTATGTCTCTCATTAACACCCCAATTTTGCTTTTAAATGCAATTTTGCGAATGGCGGAAAGGCATTCTGCGAGGGACGAGAGTGCCTCGCGCCTTGTGGCCAGGCAACCCATACGGCGCGTCGCTTTGAAGGCACGCCTCCTCACCCGGGAGCCGCTGCTGCCGACGACGAGTTGGTCAGAAAAATAAATATTTTAAAAAATCAGACGAATTCAGACATGTGCGGGGCGGACTGTATCCTTTATCGATAAGCTTGACCACTGGGCAGCATTTGCACTTGTGTACTGCTACCGAGAAAGGTTTGCCTATTAGGCAGGCGTAGTAGGTAGGCCGTAGGCCTGCGCAGAGTATTATCGAGGGACGTTTTCGCCTACCACGTGACGCACGTCGACAACACTGCCCGGGATCCGCGTGACCGTCCCCGACTCACTTCGGAACGCAGACCCATTCGCGCCACACGGGGAATGCCAAGTATCCCTCGACAGCAGCGCAGGTTAAATTTGATTCTCCTTTTCGTGAGAGAAGAAAGACCGGGTAGAGGCGCTGCTCCTAGGCGACAAGAGACAAGAATTTTGTTTCTTTATCCAGCCTTCCTCCCTCCCTCCCTTCCTCCCCATCTCCTCTCCCTTTTCTCGTTTTCTTGCTTCAGGTCCGTTGGGATTTGGCGTCGCTCGCACGCGAAATAAAAAAAAAGTCCTACAATACGGAAGGTGAGGTAGGCATAAAGCAGTGCAAGGTAAGGAGAAACTTGTTGCTGAAGGGCTGAAAGCGGTTGCGCGGAGGGGCTTGGGGGCAGGTACCCGCGAATAGGAGAGGCGGGGAAATTGGAAAGAGGAGTGGTTGGCGAGAAGGGGAAGAAGGATGTCCAACCGCCGCAGAGATCCCTCCTCTGGAAAATCGTCGAGTGACAACAAAGCGAGCAGCACGGGTTCATAAGTACCGAGCGGAAGAGAAGGATGTTTCATGTGTCGTGTGCCTCACCCTCTGGCGCTGACCCCAAGCAGTCCGACCCCAGTACAGAGCGGCGGCACAGCCCCTGCCCACGACAGTGTTGCGGCAGGGGATGAGAGCCGACCGGGCTTTGCCTGTGATCCCCTCGGTATCAAAGAAGGGTCGAAAGCAAACAGAAAGGGTCGGGACCAGAAACAAAAATTCCAGGATCGATCAAAACCGCGCGCCGCACAGAGATGTCGCATGGACTGCGTCTGATGTACACACGCATGCGCCTTGAGGAAGGTGATGGGTAAGGGTGAATGCGATGAGAGCGACAGGATTAGAAAACAAAAATTATGGGTGTGAGTGAGGTAGGGGGAGAGAGGGTCGACGGCCGCACAAAGGGACGCGAAACATTTCAATGATTCACAATGAGTTGGGAGGGAGACGAAAGCTAAACGGGTGCGGGGCGGCCTGCGCGGTCCAGGAGGGGAGGGGCTCTGCAAGGACTCGCAGGATGATGGAATATGGAACAGGCGCATACAAGGACGAGATATAAAAACAAAAATACGCGATACACGTACGTGACTGAAAATAAATATGTGAGAATGTAAAGTGTGTCACATCGATTGAAAGAAGCGCGTTCGTAGTTCAAAACTAATTGAAACAGCACGGTTTAATGAGAGCAAGTTCAGGGCAGGATGAAGGGAGACAGTGTAACATACGACTGGGGT